CAGGTGCTTTGTATGCATGAGTTAACACTCAAAATAAGAAAGTGTCATCAGAGAGGAGGAAACAGGCTGAGACTTGCAAACTTGCTCACAAAGCTCATGAATAGCAGAGACAAGACTCAAACCTAAGTAGTCTGACTCCTCACATATTTTTTAAAGATTTTTAAGTAATCTCTACACCCAATGTGGGGCTTGAATTTACAACCCCAAGATCAAGGGTCACATGCTCCACTGACTGAGCCAGCCAGGCGCCCTACTCCTCCCAACTTATAACCACTGCATTGTTCTAGTTCTCAAAGAGAGAAGAGAATTACATTGGAGATGGGGGGAATAAATTGTGATAGTTTCTAAGCAAGAAAATATAAGTTTTATTTAATAGAAGCCAACTAGGACCTGGGAAGGTTGTGAGAAGTTAAAAGAGGCAAGAAGAGGTGGCTCAGTCGGTTAAATGTCTGTCTTCAGCTCAGGTCATGATCTCAGGTTCCTCTTTCCCTCTCCCCCTTACCCCTCCCCTGCCTCACTCTCAAACAAATGAGAGAGGCACAAGACAAGTTGATTGAGTTACCATATAAGGGCACAGTTTTCTTTGTCCCACTGACCATGAGGAAAAAAGTAGTGTTCTGAATCAGAAAAAGAACAGAAAGCTTTCCTGAATAAAAGGCTTGAGGGTTCCTTGGGGAAGTTGAGCATATAGGTGAAAGTGATATAATTCTAGCAACCCCCCTACTGGTATATGCAGAACTAGTCCCATCAGATGCTTCAAGAAAAAGTGCTCTGGGATCAGGTCCCTATGAGAAATATATTTTCTTTGGAGACTTAAAATGCATAGCAGCAAAGGAAAAGATCTGATAAATCCTATAGTAAAGAAACCCATTTTATTTAACTCAGAATTTCCCAAACTTAATTGACCACAGAATCGTTCGTGAATAAATGAGGTGTGTGTAAGAGACAAACAGACACAAGAAAATACCTCTTGGAATTGCTGTTCTAGGAAACCCATTTTAGAATTTGCTATTTAGTAGCAAACGTGAACTAAAAATCCATTTTCAGAGGAGGTCAAACCTCACTATTGTGGCCATGCAGTGTCTTACAAAGAGAATTCGAGTAGAGCTGTAGTTTAGGTATGAGAAAATATTAAATCTTTATTAGGTAGTAAATGACCAGGAACTGACTGCAAGAAAGGTACCAATTTGTACCTAAGCAGGATATGCCTTTATAGCTTACCCCAAAATGATATACATATTTGAAAAATTAAAGTTAAAATGAAATTTCTAAATTAAGAAAAACATTTTGTAGAAAAGATAGCACAACTAGCAGCCGAGGCCATGTAGGTTATTAGGTCTTTAGGTTATCTCAGTTACCCATTTTGGGGGGTCACAAGTTACTAAGAAGCTATCGTGTCCCCTCAAGGCAGCCACCTGAACCACATCACAATAACCTGAAGGAAACCCCCAGGTAGAGGCTAGTGTTTCTCATCAGCCTTTTTATGGAGACTCACATGACTGCACCCTGCAGCTCACCTATCACTTGCCTATTGGTGAGACTGTGAGTGGAAGACAGTTTCTGCCCCGTGCTTGTGAGCTCCGCCCTTTCCCTCCTCCTGCGCAGGACAGTGGAGGCCTGCGCCACTAGGATGTGCCTGGCACACTCAACTTGCTTCGCCCGTAGCAATGTATCACTTAGGAGTTACTGATCGCCTGTCTCATGGCAGGTTTAGCTCCTGCTATCTCCTACTGTTTTCATTAAGTTGTTACCCTCCGGTTCTCTGTGTCCCCCCTGCCCAGCTGTCCTACCATTCTTTCTAACATTAGTTTTCCACTTCTTTCTCTTACTTTTCTAAACTAGTCTGTTGCTCTCTGATATCCCAACAAATCAGGCTGTACAGTGATTAGGAACCTAGATTCTGGAGCCTAATAATGTAGGTTTGAACCCAATAATCCCCTGCATACCACCTGGGGACCTAGGACAAATTAAGTAACTTCGGCACCTACCTGTACAGTGGAGATCATCACAGTACCCCCTTCACATGGTTATTGTGAAGAATGAAATAAGCAATGTAAAAAAAATGTTTAGCATAGAGCTCAAAGCGTGTTAGGTTTGCTCTTTCTAGGTTTTTTTTTTTAAGATTTTATTTATTTATCTGAGAGAGAGAAAGAGCATGAGCAGGGGGGAGGAGGCAAAGGGGCCGAGAGAAGTAGACTTCCCGCTGAGCAGGAAGCCAGACGCAGGGCTCAATCCCAGGACCCCCATGACCTGAGCCCAAGGCAGATGCTCAACCGACTAAGCCACCCAGGCACCCCTGTTATTTCTTCTATAGTCTCTCTCATTCAAAATCTTGTAGCCTTTCTTCTTGACCTTTATATTTCCCAGGTACACGAATATTATACAGACTCAGTAATTAAATTTCCCATTACATGGACTTATCATTGTTCCTCACATCACAAAATTAACAGAGCTTCCTATCCTTAAAGTTCATATCCATCTCCCCCGCCCCAAAGCGTTCCCATAACCCTAATTCATTCAGTCTCATTCTCATTAATCTATTTATATTTTAAAATTTGCTAGGTGTTGTAACAGACTCACGTTTCAAGGAATTAAAGGTTTGTTCGACACACTATGTTCAAGAGAGTAAAGCAATTTAAAATAGGTATAAATAAAGGCTCCAATTTCCACTCAGTTCTTTTCTTTTTAGAATCCAAAAAGCTAGCTCCATTTTAAGGACCCACACTCTGTTGCTTTCAGTGTTTGGCAACGTTCTTGCCAAAGAAAGTTTCATCTCAATTTTGAGATGTCCAAAAGTACATTAGAGTTGTATAAACAGATACATGACCAGAGAAATATTCTTTTTCCATCTTCACTGCTCAGCAAAATTAGGCCATTTTCCCCTGAGGTTGAAGAAAAAAAAAATCTTATTTGTTCAACTTTATTATTTTTTTAATAGTACTCTTTCCTGCTGTATTCAGGATACTGCTGTCAAGCTGACTTTCTCTCCAGTTCCCTAACCCTTATTATTCTTCTTGAATCTTGTACTGGCTTCATGTGAATTTCAACGTTTCCCTTCTATGTCTAAGGGCCCTAAAACTCTTTTTAGCCTATCTCTCCCTATGGCCAGACTTGGCTTCCTCCTCAGAGCTAGCCATGGCTCAGCCCTCTCATTTACTAGGTGTTTATCCATCACCTACAAATATGCACCGTGTCTATCATGTGCTCAGTACCACATTACCAATATGACACTGTCCACAAAGGGATCTCGAGTGAGAAAGGTTGTTAGTAACCTGGGCAACTCTCCATACACAATCCTTCTCTTCACCTAAAGATCAGCAGCAAACCTAACCATCCCCTCGTAGGTCTACTCTGTGTCATCTGGGACAGGATGTGGAGAATTCGGAGTTAAGAACTGCATGTTCACGTTGTTGTTTTTCCTATGCCAAGGTTCTCTGGGATTCAGGCTTATCCTACTACACAGTTTATGCTAAACTATCATACTTGATTCAAGTTCTCTGGTGGTTTTTTGTGTGTGGCCCTTGTCCCTATTCATCTTCTTTTATAGTCCCAAGTCATACCTGGCAGGGTATTTTTTTGGGGGAGTAAAACCCCTGCTGCCTACATGGCTGACAATATGAAGACCGAATGTGAAAATCTCAGATTCTTAGTATAAGAAGGTTTGGTATTATAGGAATTTGTATACACATAGGTAACATTTTACCCAAAACACAATAGCTGCACTACTAAAAAGTCCTATTCAGTGCCACAGTTAATCTATAAGCCTATTGATCCTGTTGCCCAATATTAGTAGGCTAATTAACATATCACATACACGTGATTCTAATGTATAATTAGGGACTTTTCAAAACCTATGTTAAACACCAGAAACCAGTTTTGTGAGAAATCCAGGTAAGCACATACACCTTCATTTGTATCAGATGCAATTTTGAAGGTGTTCTACTTAAAATATTTAAAAAATGACGGGCAATGAGACCCTGCAGATACTTTACCATCAAGGCCGGTAAGCAGGAAATCCAGAGTCAATATGCAGATAGAGGTTTATGTTAATGAATCATTTTAAAAACATGCTTTATAAAAGAACTTGAAATGGAACAAGGCAACTGAAGGCTCTCTAAAGGTTTAAGTAAGTTTTCCCCAAAAATGCCTTGAAATGGAACAGTACAGATAATTCATTCCCAGTTTTCTGCTTCAGACCGTGAATCTCAGCTCTGGTACCAAGAGATGGAAACCACTCTTCGCCTCATATAAAAAAAAAGGGACAGCTGATAGAAATTCATGCACTGAATTATGAGCAGAATTTGTCATTCTCATTAAAAGCCAGTCTTGCTTTTGCTTTGCCTTTTTCCTCTTTGGGGATGTGTGTTTTCTTAACATAAGTTGATTTTAGGTTGTCCCCAGAAATCACAGTCTCCTTAATTAAGTTGGCTGAAACACCAAGTCCTCTTTTAGACCTGATAAATCAACTTCTAAGTGTTCTCTCAACTCATGCTCACACGTTTAGTTTCAGTAAAAACTCATGTTACCCTGCACAGATGGGGTCGGTCGCCAAGAATGTTTTTTATTAAAAATGAGCTGCTATTAAACAACTTTCTGATATTATTTGTTACATCCTGATATATTCTGAGATTCCAACAATGTTCTGAATTCATAAAGTACTTCTTCACCCAGGATTTAAAAGTTTCACTCAAACATAAATCCATTAATCTCTCAAACTGCCCTATGAAGTCAAAAGAGCATATTCTAACTCGGCATACAAAATACTTCCAGAATGAGCTTATCATAAATCAGTCATGTTTTCAGCCATATCCACAGAAAACAACGATCCCACATCTCTGCAATAGAGAAACAAGAAAATTCTGTATAGAGGTGGATGTTAAATAATCTCCAGTAAATATTTTAAGACTGCAAACAATTTTTTCTACTCTGTTAAAAAGATACATTTAAAAAATAAACATGCGGCAGATACGAGGTTGCTATAAATTCTGAAAACGGCTTACCTATTAATGTAACTGAGGGCAACATAGGTTGGCTGCTGTAATTCTTGTTTTTCTAAAACACGTGGATCTGTATCTGTAATAAAAACACAATTATGATTTTTCAGCTTTTGCATTAGAACATATGAGGGTGCCTAACAAAGAAATAGGGGCTAAACAGAGAAAAAGATTTAACATTCCTCTTTTTAAAGAAAACCCAGGCAGCAAAGCACCATCATTTGCTCATTCATTCATAAATAACAAGATATTACATTACTTTTCAAGGGAATTCCAAACATCAAGTGATAAAATGTCCATCTGTCACACAAACTCTTGCACAATCCCCCTCATAAATATTGGTTTTCACTGCTTACAGTTACAATGTTGGCATGGTTTTTGGAGGGTAATCGGCCTAAGAAAGAAAGTCTCTGTTAATTATGCTCACTTGAATGCTGGAACAAATTAGTTGCCATTGGAAAGCTCCATCAATTTGAAAACCTACTGAGTATTGTTCTTGCTCACTGAACACTTTCCTGGGTTTGGATTCACTTTCTGGAGGGCAGCTCTTCTTTTTAATTGTATAATGAGTTTATTATAACTTCTTCTAGACTCTCAATCAGGAATTCTCATGCTGGTTCAGAATCCACAAATACCACATTCATCAGAGGGGCTTTCCCCCCTGAAGAGAGCGAATTCAACACCATAGCAACCTTCTGTAATGGTGCCTCTCCAACATGGCACACACACAAAATGCACTTTTCACAACTAGAAATGCATTCTCAAGCTTCTCACACGGAGCAATGATTGCACTAAACACATGCAAAAGCAAGGTTTATATAATAAGACTATAAAGGGGGAGAACTGCACACATTTTCATTTTCCTAGAAAAAGGCTCAGACATTTCACACAGATTTCATTATAACCTCATTTAAAACCATCTCATTATTAGAACTCTTCCAGCTGCACTTGGCAATAACACCTTCTTTGATGTAATGACAGATGTTGTTTCAAGCACCTTTGTACAGGAAGCGTTTACTGCACGTGGTTGATGTAAGATACACTAACTCCAAAGCACATTAACAGGTGAGGGGAGCGGCGGGGGGGGGGGGGGGGCAGGCACAGTGGCAGGGAGCACGGATGGCAAAAATGATAGCATAAAAAAATCAATTTACAATGCTTTTGACTCCCAGACTAAAACTAGGCAGTAGTGGCAATTTTATTCTTGGTGTTAAAGTTAAGAATCTCATGTTCACTTTATTGTTTTTCCTATGCCAAGAATTTCAGAGACCTACTATTCAGAAATCCTGCTTCCTGGGTCTTTGCCATTGCAGGTCTTTGAAAGCCAAATTCTCAAACAGACAAAGATTCTCTGAATGGCTCCATCAAGTCGGGTCTCAAGGTTTTGGCAGCACGAGTGAGAACGAATCAGTAACCCAGCATTTCCTCTCCCTCTTACAATGATTACATATGCAACTGTCGCTGTTTGTAGATCACTAGCCTGCAGATACAACCCACGGTTCTCTACATACTGGAAACCACTCTTCAAGGGAAACTGAGGTTTTCAAATATAACCCTTCCTCACACTCATCTAAGTTTGCTGTGACCCCACAGCATATGTGTTTTTGAGAAACACTTTGTGCACTCGCCTGTGTTCGCTAGAGGAGTCACTAAAACAGTGCTCACCAGGGAAAGGTGTTTTATCCCCAAAATGGTCCATTGGAATGCTGGGCAGGCCATGTGTGCAAATGGTGACTGACAGACCTATCCTGCAAGGTCTTTGTAGGTGCTTAACAAGGTAAGAAACAAGAGATTGGAAACAAAAACCATGAAAATGAAGAGGAAGATAAGAAAGAACAAGGCAATGATTGCAAAGGTCTATGTGGAAAATTTCTCAAATGATCACAAGACACTTTGACCTCAAGTGGAGCGCCTGATGATGGAAGTGCTTAGCTTTTGAGACAAGGGCCTGAACTTGATTCACTAAAACCCATTCCTTCAGAGCCATCTGGCACATGATTACATAAGGTGTATTATTTTGAAAGAAAAGAGCACCATTCTGAGTCTAAAGTGTGTGTTTAAAGGGGAAAAGAGTTAGGAGGCCAAAAAACATTTTTATATCTTCCACCGTTGCCTTCATACTTGTAATTGATGCTCAGTCTGTTTTCCCACAAACCATCCTTCGAAGCTTTCCTTTGTTTCCAAGTCATAGAAGTTCTCAACTCTTTTAAATACTGCTTCTCCAAGCTACCTTGACTTTTACTTTTCTTTTACTAGGTGTGTGAGTAGGTATACACACAAACATACATTTATATTATTCCTTTCCTCTTCACACTCCAAGACCTCTTTGGGGAAGGGGAAGAAGTACCTTATACAAAATCCGTTAGTTCTCTAATGCTCAAATGAATGGTGTTGGCCACAGACATTCACAGAAATTACACCCTGTGATTTTTCACAAACAAGAATGTTTGCATTCCAGCCGCAAAGCAAGGTACTGAAATACTGTTTTCTTCCTTTGTTTCACCACCTTCTATAACCTATGCTAGCCTTACGTTCACATACCCTCAAATAATTAGTGGTGAAATGGACTTCCAGAAGCTTCCAAATGCCACCCTCTCCATGACAAAAAGACCACCTGGAAGCACCGCAAGCAAGATTCTCTTTTTCTAGAATGTCGACTCTGGCAACCACAAGAAAGCTGGACTTCTAGACAGACTTCCACCAGGCTTTCAACATCTTTTTCAGATTAAACGTTTCCTTGGAGGGCGCCTGGGTGGCTCAGATGGTTGAGCGTCTGCCTTCGGCTCAGGTCATGATCCCAGGGTCCTGGGATCGAGTCCCGCATCGGGCTCTCTGCTCCTTGGGAGCCTGCTTCTCCCTCTGCCTCTCTCTCTCTGTCGCTCATGAATAAATAAATAAAATCTTTAAAAAAAAAAAAACAACAAAAAACGTTTCCTTGGACAACCTTGAGAACATTCATTAAAGCTTCGAGTTCTTAAAAATGAAATCAGGCACTTGGTGCCCACAAAGCAGGAGAGGTCTACACAAGTGCTACCGGACGAATAGCATCAGCTGCTGGTTGCAAATAAACATCAGCCCGGTTCCTCGCTTCCTGGCTGACTGGTGTGCCGTGATCATGACTCACCATTTTATGGATTTAATGACGCCGTTGAGCACTTCACATTCAGTACAAGTAGAAGAGCTGCCTTTATTATTCCTCCCTCCCTGACAGAAAAGGGACTGCCTGCTGCTAGAAACTCTACAGGAAAGGATTAGAGCAACAAGAGAGGAGGATTTTCACAGCGGGACGATGACGTGCTCCTCAGGAACACGGAGAGTCCATTGTCAGAGTGAGCTGGAGAGAGTAACACTATCCACTAGAGATTACTGAATTCCGTAAGAATAATTTCCTTCTACCACGTGCCACACCACGGAGAAATTTTCTGCATAGGGTAAGCCGCTACAGGAAGAAATGGGATCTCAATGGCAATGGCTAGAGCCCACAATATCCCTGACAGTTCTCTCGCTTGTTTGTTTACGGTGCCAATAAAAACCTGTAACTGGAACATCAGCTATCGGGGCCCAGAGATAGAATCCGCCTCGGTCAATGGTCTGTGGGATAGGAACACTTGATTTTTTTCATCACCGCAGGATGCTCCTCAGGCTGGCAACTGGCAAGCCTTTCTATCATGTGGCTGTCTATGGCCACACAGAACAGCACTCTACCACTTTTACAGCACTAAGAAGTGAGAAGAAGATAAACCCAAACTTTTTCAGCAGGGCAGGGTATAGCCAAAAAAAGCACAGAGAGATTCTTGTTTTCTGCCTCATGCCACCCCTTGCATGCTCACAGATTCCAAGTTGACTGAAGGCTAAGAGAATTCAAATGTTAAGATTTATCACTACCCCGGTGATAAAAACCTATCAGCTTGCTTCAGTTTCTAAAACATCTTCTAAAATAGATGGCTATGTGCCCCTTCTGGCATTACTCCCTCAGGCTAAGAGCTTGAATGCTCAGCTGTACATAAGGACTAGCCACAGGTACAAAATGGAAGATTCCTGTAACTCACAGGGTCCTAGGGACTCATGGCTTTACAGATTCAACTGCATGGCAAAGGGCTCAATGTCACAGCACTAGCTCCCACGACTTCTCAAGTGGTGGGGTGGGGTGGGGTGGGGGGAGGGGGAGAAGAAGGCACGGCAGATGGGAGAGATAAGGATAGGACAGCCTTCGGACCCTTCTCAGTAGGAAGTGGGATTGTGACAGGACCAAGAAAAGGCCACCCTGCTCAATCAGTAAGGCTCCTGTTCCTCAGCTCTGCTGTCTCTGGTGTTGGGAACCAATGGCAATTAAGTGGATTTGTGACACACCTTGAACCTTTTGTTGTACTATCTTCAAGCCAAAATGAAAACTATCAAGGTTATTTGCTGGGTTAACTGAGGCTAATTAATAAGCTCATGGGCTTTGGCTATGCTTTAGCTAGCCTACACTGTTAGGATTTTATAGGCCTGAATTACTTATAAATTTAAGAAAGTGAAAAACCAGCTGTCCTACCTCTCAACAAGGCTAATGAGGCCTCCATTGGCAATGAGCTATTTGCAAGCTGAGAGGCAGCAGTTGGGGAAGAGGGGATATCATGTCCCCCCGAGAAGGCCTTCTTCAAATTCTGCATCCTCCCAACATCAGGCTCTTTCCTCAGTGTGTACGGCAGCAGTGGGAGGTAGAGAGGATGTGGGTGGGCAGGCAGTGGGCGACTGGCAGTGCTGGAAGGCTCTGGAGAGGCAAAGGCCCACCCAGTCAGATGTAGGGTTTTGAAGATCCAGGCTGGATACACCGCTTTTCTTTGGACTCACTCTGTAATAATTAATGGGCACGGTCTGTTCTCAGTCTTCTCCTAATAGCTGAACTCCTAAAGCCACAGAGTGTTAGTTTATTCAGTGTGGCCTTCCACAACCCCCCTGGCTGCATTCACCACATCCCCTTCTCTGCACCACTCCGCTGCCAGCACTCCTTTTATTTCGGTCCCCACAGAGGAATCATCTGGGTATACCCTTTTCCCTTCCACACTTCTCAGAGGTGAAGAACTGTCTCATGTTCTCTTACCTCTCCAGCTCTCAGCTCAGTGCCTCACGTGTAGGAGAATGTACCCTTATTGAACATATATGCTCATTATACGACCAGAAAGTGGAACTTCTCGTCGAACATGGCAAACTGATCAAGGGCATTGGTTGCTGTCACCACCCTAGGCCCCACTGAAGGAGAAATAAAGCAACAGAAAACTCCCCAGGGATAGAAGAAGGGGCGACATCAGCAGTCCAGTGATTTTAGCCAGG